TACACCGTGTTTCAAAGTCCGAGATAGAACTTGCACCTCATTCTCGATGACAGGGCGCTCATAGGAAACATGGTTAGGCGGGCTATGGAAGCAAGGCAAGGTTTCGATAACGCCAGCCAAGAGCAAGACAGACACGCTCTCGGCCGGCATTTTGACTCCATCCGTTTGTCCATAGTTACATGAGAAAGCTTTGCAGTTGATGCACGTCGCGCGCACAATATATACCCCTATAACTATAATCTACAGATTGACGCTAACTACTTCTCTGCTTCTTGCGTCGCCCAACATCATTATGGTCAAATGATGCTTTCCTCTTTTGGTGATCAGCGCGTCCAAATTGCGCGTCCAGGCCTTGGGCTTTGATGAGTCGGTCAATCGAAAAGGGCGAGCCACTGATGTGAGTTGTCGCATCATCCAACTTGAGCCACAATGTGAACTTTCCACGCGACACGAATTCGATTCTTTTGCAGAATCTTCCACCAGCGTCGGCGAAGGATCGGTCGCCAACCACACCGGGAAGAGGCCGCACATCCACCATAAAGCATGCCTTGCCCTCTGCGAGCCGCCTTATCAGCGCATCAAAACCATCGTCGGCCGGGCCCAAGACGCAGCGTATGCTGCCGGCGACCTCTAGAGATTCCCCTGGTCCTTGCGGCATTCTGTCTAGCTCAAAATAGAAGAGTGACGCGACTGCGGCGTGGGCCACAGCCTCAACGCCGCCCGAGATTCTCACATCACCTGCAGCCAGGGACGCGAGCGAAGGTATCATAGCGGTATCGTCAAGCCGCGGCTCCGACCCTTCGAAATGAATATTAAGGCGATGGATGCGTTGCGCAGTCTGGGTCGCGGAGCGGATGCCGTTCAATACACGTCTCACAGTTCCGTCACGCATCTTCTCCAGAAGGAGATCGCGAGCCCTCGTGAACATGCCAGACTTGCGCAGGCTACGGCGGTCCTGCTTGTCGGCCTCGTATGCTGCTGGTGCTGGCTCGCCCGTACCTAGTGACAAGACCATGTCTGGCTCCGCGACGTACGGAAACAGCGCGCGCATCTCCGACAGCGCCTGGCTAAGGGGGTTGTTCTCGAGCGGCCCGGCATCTTGGAATGTCCCGACCTGGTCGATGTGGGCAGCTGGGAAGAATCTAGACTGGCATTAGTTAATGTACAAAGTCGTGCTTTCTATGGGGTAGGAAATTATGATCTGACCCTGGGGCGGCAGAGATGGCACGAGCGCTTAGTAAGGTTAGTAGGGAGTTCTAAAAACAGAAGGGAGGTTAACGAACACTTCCCATTGCGGCACCTTCCCAAATCCATCTTCCGCCCGAATCGTGGGCTCACCTACCACAGCGCAGTTAGGTCCGATGGGGCAAAGCTAGGAGCTGAACGTACCTGTTGGACTCGCAAGCCTCGCACCAACCCCGTTGTAGTTCGTGAAGATACGACACGCTGGATGTGTGTGCACTGTTGCCACTGGCAGACCTATCCTGGTCCCTGCAGCTGTCGCAAAGGATGCGCCTAGGATACTTTGCCCTGGATGAAAGACCTTCTTCAGCACACTCTCAATGTCTTTTACCGGATACAGCCCATCGGCGAAGATTGTCATGACGGACCGCCAAAAACGCGAAAGTACCGGCAGACCCCAGCTTTTACGCGGGTTGAAGATGGCAACCGCCATCTGCTTAAACAGCTGAGTGGACTCCTCAATAGTTGAGCCGTTGAAAAACATGTTCATGACGATTAGCCCTCCTACCGTGGTCAGCGCAGCCATTCCACTTCTTCGCCTCTACGTACCGGAGCTCACACCGAACGCGAGCTTGAAATATTGCTGGAAAGGGATTGGGAGGCCGATACAGTCCTGGATGCGTTGCATGATCGTCAACGGTACGATGCCTCTCGTGCCTCCGCCGTCAATGCAAAGGATACTAACGCCTGCCGTCGGTGGATGCACACGAACTCGGATCTCCCGCTGCATTCCCATGTGGCAAAGAGGACACACGCAAACACGATATAGATATGGATGGTGCTGCTCTTGTTCGCCGTGGATAACGACGCAGTTTTCGCACAACATATGGCTGCACTCGAGTGCATACTGCGGAGTGCGTAGTGTACAGCCGAGGCAGGTACGTTCGCTTCGTAGGGCCCCCCACTGACCGCAGAATCGCTTTAGGTTTCTCTGATGAATCGCAACTGCGGACAATCCGTCTGGCCGGCTGTGCTCCGCGAAGTATCGTTGAAAATGCTCCTGTAGCATCTGAAGGAGGACAGTGCGTAGTAGCACGTCAGCGGAATTGGAAAAGGCAATTACGCGACTGTCCGGGCAAACTCCATCGAAAGCTCGAGCATAGAGCTGCGAGAAGACCTCACTCGGTTCAAAACCTTGCTTATTGTTAGACTGGGTATGAGACTAAGAGATCCATTACTTACAATGCGAGTCCGGTGGGTAGCTGTCGAGGAAGAGACATGATGCTAGCATTGGCACAGCGAACTCGGCTAACTGTGATGTGGATGTGAGTAGAGCAAACACGTTAGCCAAGTGTTGGCCAAGGTCACTGGGTACCGGACGAGTAGCCCGCGACGCGATAACGCAATCGAGCGGCTCTGCGGACGATTCAGTAAAGTGGGCGATGGCAGAGTTCAGGAGAGTGGAGAAGTGTCTCGCCGAGTATAGGCATCCGCGATCGGCACGCTGAAGAGCAGTTGCACGCGACTGCTCCTGCAGGAGCTCCTTCAGGCGCCGGAAGCGAGCTTGAGGTGAGATTGTACCACGTGGTAGAAGCGCGACGAATTCGAGGTTGGATATACACTTGTGGATGTCGACGGATGTTTGCTGGCGGACAAGGCTAAGGGAATCACGCTTGGCATTTTTAGCATTGGGCCGTTCCGTCACCACCACGAGGGGCTGGCCAAGGACCGTCTGGATGTGCTGCTGGTTGGCAACGCTCCATCCATCGCACCACCTCTCGAGCTGTCTTGGTCAGTCCACCGAGATCGGATGCAAAGATACAGATAACATTTGTGAACTGCCGTAACAGCCGTGCGTAGACATCGGTCGCGATGTGGTCGTCACAAGGTCGGAGTGACCGCACGTTTGTGCGATGGCATGGACAGCCTGCCGCCTCTGTGTGGGTTGTGTGCGGGATCAGTTGGAGAGATCTTCCCTCTGCCACAATCCAGGGCCGTTCGGTAAACGTGGTTGATGAATCCAAGTATAGATGAATACTGTCGATGCTGCGTCTGCCCTTGGACGAGGCTTTGAAGCCAAACAGCGTTCGCAGCGCCGCCCCCTTCTCTGAATCACCGATGGTGACTAAGAAAATCGGATACTGAGTATCTAGGTTGTGTAGGAGACTAAGCAAGGCGCTCAGCCTGTCTGTCTCTATCAGGGTTGGCTCCCCTTGGACACGCTTGGCGCCGAGCCAGCTGGAGTGCTTGCAGGGCGGCATTTCCAGACTTGCGCAACTGAAAATGAGTGGGAGCTTGTTTTTATATCAGGACAGCAGATCTTTCTTGAGATACGGTCGTGTTCTATACAAGAATTGGGCTAGAACCAGTCGACTACGAAACAGGGACTTCTTTAGAAATGCCGTTGTCCCGAAGTAGGAGCAGACAAGTTTTGGGGTCTGTTCTAAAAATGTACTCTATACTCTTATATCGTTCTGCCGCGCCTTTCTCCTTTCTGCCCTGTAATAACTTCTGGAGAGTTGGTCGCGATGATGGACTTCGCTCTCGCTGTCTTTATGGCTTTCATTGCTCTTTTTGAATAGACATTGGCCGAATACTACTCCGGCGTTGGCCCACACTACGAAATGTCCGACGCTCCTCAAGGTAAGGTGTTTGTTAGGAACTACTGTGTTAAGGACTTTTATGCATACCATACGACTGCATTTGACGATCCTAATCCTGAGAATGGAATTGCACTCAAAGCCGGGCATGAAATATCTTTTCCTGTCATCATTCCCGAGAGGGGCTGTCAGTGTGGAACAAGTATAAAGCTCTTCGAAGCCCAGACGAAATCGGGCAAGCAAACCCAAATGGAGTATAGCATACGTGATGTCGGCGATCGGAAAGACTGGTTTATAAGCTATGACATCTCTTTCGTGGATTGTGCAACAAGTACTCCTGGCCTCGTTGATACCTTTTTCAAAAATCATACTGGTCAAGGGTGTCCTGGATGGGACGAGGGCGTCAAGGTCTACGGAACTAATGGTCGCGAATGTGGTGCGATGCAATGCTCCAAGGGCAAGTTCTGTCCATGGGATGCATACTTTGAACCTGAGCCAGCCAAAGGCACAGAGAACCCGTATCAGCCTGTACGCCAATGCGCAGCCGGATCGATCGATGCTGACATCCATTTTGTTTTGTGCTCCGGCACCACATCCGACGGCGGTGATCCGGCCATCCCCGGCTACCGAGCACCTTCACCGGATGACGGACCGAACGCTACGCCGCAGCATTTCTCTGCTTCATCTCCCTCTCCCTCTCCGTCACTTGCCAGCTTGGTGCACCAGGGCACATCGCCTCTGTACAGCCCGGCAGACGATGGCGTCACGACACGTTATGCGGCTGCTCCAGCTATAGTGACGATTGCGGTCACCGGGACTGCCCTACTCTCTGAGGATAATGTTGCTAAGATCTTCATAGCTTAGCGGGTTGAAGAAGAGCATCTTGACTGGGTTGTTAGTTAGTGTTCTTGAATCCAGGAGCCGGAAGCTATCAGGCGATGTCCTATTATAGATGTTCTAGTAACACTACTCGTGTTCCTGCCGTCGCGTGCAATGAGCACGGCACCCAAGTGTCCCGCGAATATGCCGCGTGGCCCAACAGAGTTACTATCAGATAATGAGGAGACTAAACTCGTAAACGAGGGTCAAGAGGGTCAGGTTCTACGAAAACAACAGATGTGTGTCTGACGGTACTGAGCATCATCTTCATAGATTAGTTCACAGTGT